GAGCACCGACAGCCATAGTGGTGAACAAACGACTGACATGAGACAAAGCTGAGTTGGGATTGATGTCCACAGCTGCAGCCCAGATCTTGCCCATGCTTGTGGAATGACTTGGAAAAGAGGCAGGAGTAAAAAGCTTAGTGACACTGACCTAAGCCTTGAGACTGAAGGTCAAAGGGCCTGAAAGCATACTCGAGAAACTATCTTGACTGAGGAATTGTATCAGCTTCCCAAATACACAGCATAAACTTGACTATGGTTCTGTGAAGTCTGTGTAGCTATTGCCATGGATTTTCCTTCTGAAAATACCCTGTGGGCCAGTTCTGAGTTGATGGGACTCAACAACAACAACAACAACAGTAGAGAAGTAAAACTGGTGTTGGAGTTAGAAATAGGTATGGGATCTTGGAGTCAATGTTTGACCTTACTGAAACTAATTTTGTATTGTGGATGTTAAATGCTGATGTGCTTGGCCAAAGAAACTAGTGAATAATGAGTTGGATCCTATGTACTGAGATTGTCAAATGTTGATTGTTGACTATTGGCTGCTAGTTGTTGGATGTGACTGTCAGTTGTCAGTTGTTGGTTCAGCTGGGTCAAGTTAGGTGCAGTGTCCCAAGTGAACAAATGTTGAGCTTTGCAGAATCATTCCTGTGTATATAATCACTCTACATAAAGGGCTATAAACCACATCTGTAGGAAAATGAAGGGTGAAGACTTGGATAATGCCTTCTAATAGAGTGGGCCTTGTATCGCACTCTAATCATATATCTTTAATGCTTAATAACTAATTATTCATTGAATGAGATTTTAAGGGTAGTAAAAGAGGCTAGAATCACAAAATGGAAGACTACGGAAATGTCTTGGAGAAAGTGTAGCCAGAGTGCTTCTTGGAAGAAAGGGTGATGAAGCTTCATCTCACATCCTTTGGGAATGTTGTTGGGAGGGACTATTTCTTGGAAAGAGATATCATGGTTGTAAAAGTGGAAGATTAGAAAAGGGTAGGAAGACTCTCAACCAGATGGACTGACACGGTAACTGCAGCAATGGGCTCATGTCAGAATTGATGAGGATGGTGCAGGACAGGATGAGGTATAGCTCTGTTGTTTATGGGCGTCGCCATGAGTTGTACTTGACTCCATGACTCTTAACAACAACAACAGCAATAATGGATGTAAGGGCCATATTGATTCATTATACCACAGGGTAGCATCAAGTTCAGTTGGGCTAATATAGATCACATAAATAATGTTGTATATCCTACTTTTATAGGTGAAACTATTGGTATACTTTCATTCTAAAAAGAAGAGGAGAACAATTAACATATGTCTGTGAATATTTATTCCAAATAGCTGATAGGACACATAATCCTCAGCCTCTGTGTCCCTGAGACCAGCTGCCATTGTTTACTGTTCTGAAAGAGATTAAAAGGAGATGCTAGACATATTTAACCTCTTGCACTCTTCTTGAAGAAAAGAACAAAATTGATGTCAGAAGAGACTCTGAGTATTGCACGAGGAAGTCGAGAAGCCAAAGCACAGGGAAGAATTCAAGATATTAAGGAGCTGAACAGAATATTTCAAAAGGCAGCGCAAGAAGACAAAGTAAAGTATTACAATGAAATGTGCAAGGAGCCGAAGTCAGAAAATCAGAAGGACTGAATTCCCTCAGCATTTCTTAAGCTGAAGGAACTGAAGAATAAATTCAAACCTTGAATAGCAATACTTAAGGATGCTTTGGGCAGAATATTAAACGATCCAGGAAGTACTAAAAGAAGATGGAAAGAGTATACAGTCATTGTACAAAAAGGAATTGGCAGACACAGAAGAATTTCAAGAAACAACATATGAGCAAGAGCCTATGGTGATGAAGAAAGAAGTTCAAGCTGCTTTGAAAGAAATGGCAAAAAATAAGGCCCCAGGAATAAATGGTATACCAATTGACATATTTCAACCAACAAATGCTGCCCTAAATGTGCTCATCAATTTGTGCCAAGACTGGAAGAGATCTATATTTGTTCCCTTTCCAAAGAAGGGTGACCCAACAGAGTGTGGAAATTATAGAACAATATCATTATTATCACATGCAAGCAAGATTGTGCTGAAGATTATCCAAAAATGACTGGAAGAGCACATTAACAGAGAACTGCCAGAAGTGCAGGCTAGGTTTTGAAGGGGTCGTGATACTAGGGATATTGTAGCTAATGTTAGATGGATCTTGGCTGATAGACATATTTCATTAATTATGCAAAGGAGTTTGACTGGATCACAACAAACTGTGACTAACTCAAGAATGGGAGTCCCAGAACACTTGATCATGCTAATGTGAAACCTATACTTGGACCAAGAGGCAGTCATCAGAACAGAGCAAGGAAACACTACATGGTTCAAAATTGGGAAGGGTATATGTCAGGGATATGCCCTATCTCCATACCTTTTCAAGCTATGTGCAGAACAGATTATCTGGGAGCCTGGGCTCTATGAGGAGAAATGTGGCATCAGGATTCAGGGAAGATTCATCAACAATCCGCATTATGCAGATGACACAATCCTGATTGCTGAAACAGAGTAGGGCCTGAAGCACTTGCTGCAGAAGGTCAAGGACTGCAGTCCTCAATATGGATTGAAGCTCAATATCAAGAAAACAAAGATTCTCACGCCTAGGCCAATTGGCAGCATCATGATAGATGGTGAAGAGATTGAGATTGTTAATAGCTTTAGTTTGGTTGGCTCCATAATCAACACTCTTGGCACCAGCAGTCAGGAAATGAAAAGATGAACTGCATTGGGAAAGTCTGCTGTTAGAGATCTCTCCAAAGTACTGATGAGCAACAATGTCACTCTAGAGACTAAGGTGCTCTTGATACAGGCCATGGTCTTTGCAATCACTTGTTATGTGTTAAAGAGCTGGACAATGACTAGGGATGATAGAAGGAGAATTGATGCCTTTGAACGACAGTGTTGAAAAAGAGTATTGAATAAACCATGACTGCTAAGAGAGCGAACAGGTTCATCCCATAGAGGGTTAAACCAGGTTGGTCCTTGGAGGCAAGAATTCTGAGGCTTCATCTGACATACTTTGGACGTGTTGCAAGGAGGTCCTTAGAGAGGTTCTTAGAGAGGGACATCATACTTGGGTGGGTGGATGCACAGTGCAGGAGAGGAAGGCACTTTATGTGATGGATTGATTCCATGACTGGGACAATGTGGTAGGTGTGTCAGAGACAATGAGATTGCCACAGGATAGAGCAGGGTTTAGGGCTGTTGTACATAGGCTGTTGTACAACTATGAATTGTAGGTGACTCAATGGCACATAACAACAACAACAGATATATTTGAAGAAAATTGAGCCCACCAGCTCCTTCTCTGGAGAACGATATATGGTCTCCTCTCATCATTGTTGTTATATGTGCCATCCAGTGGCAACCAACCCAAAGCTGACTTCTCTAGCAGATTTTTCCAAGGCAGTAAATCACATGAGTTGATGGCCTAACTTTCTCCTGCAGAGAATCTGGTGAGTTTGAACCATATACCTTTGCCTTGGCAGTACAATTCCTAACCATTAAGCCACCAGATCTCAGTTAAGATCTTTAGCCTCATTAAGTTGTTTTTATGTGCCATTTAGTCAGCCACCACTCATAGCGACCCTATGCACAATAGCTCTGAACCCTGGGCCAATATACCGGGCCAATATCATTCTCTCTGACACACCTATCCTCATTACCTCAGTGACTACATCAGTCCATCTCGTCTGGGCCTCAGAAATTTGTTGGGTCTTCAAAAGAGTCAGAATTAACTCAATGGCAATAAGAAAGCTGAGAAGGTAGGAAGGGATAGGAAAGGAGGAAAAATAGAAAGGGTAAACACAGGGAGCAAAGGAGAATGCTATTAAATTGATGGATTGTAATCAGTCTCATAAAACAAAATCTCTAAAAGTTGTTGAATGGGAACACTCAATTTGCTCTGCTAATTCTCAGTCAAATATTAAAAGAAAGAAAAACTTAAAAATACCACACAATTAGAATACTCAAACAAGATCAGTCTATACTTTTCTTGTTTTGCTATCTTGATAGATTTTGGTATCAAAATTATTTTTTTTATTAACTGGAAATGTTTCTATTTCTAGATTAATTTTATACTTTAATACCTTGCAAACATAAATTAGCTGAACTTTGCTGCATTTTATTACTTAGTATAACTTTTTCCTTTCAATTGGAAAAAAATTAACTTACAATTTTTTGTGTTAACTCTTGTTTGCTCTTATTTCTGTTATTATATTTTACATCCTCCTGGCATACGTGCTTTTATTGTTGTCGTTTTCTTGTTTTATTTTGCTTATCCTATTTTTAGTTCTTTTTCTCATGATATTTTGGAATTCATGCCTACTATTTTTAGTGAATGACTTAAAAATTTTTGTGCTTATATCATTCTGTCAACTTGAAAAAATAAATTGAATCTGCGGGATCTTCCTTCTGCTCTCACATGAAACAATCATGTAAGCACAAGCTCCCCTTCATTGTCCAAAGTTTGTTTAAACAAACTATATTTAACATTTGAATATGTCTTTTTGATAATTTATTCCTAACATTTACATAGCAATTCACAAATATGTTAGGAATTAATAGCTATTATTTAGAATAAAGAGTAAGCTTTCTTAGGCTCTTTTGTTCTTGTTCATTCTATTCTGAATGTGTTTTAATTTTGGAAACATGATTTCAACAATACACTATACCCATAAGAGTGTAGATATACAGGTTTAGTACAAATCTGCAATTATTTAACAATGTTTAAATGTGATGGCCTTTAGCTTGACTATACTCCCCAGTTTGCCACATTACTGTTACTCCTTCTTTCTTCTTTGAGTCTGTATCATTATGTGTGACCTATGTCCTTAGATCTTCCCAGACCATATGTCATTTTCAATCTAAGTGTTTAATATGTGATCCTCAGTTTTTACAGTGAACTAGATTCCATTTTATGCCTTTTTTCTCTCCTCAATTTAGGCCTTAGAAGATCGAGTATGGGAACTCTTACAGGAAGCAGACAAGACAGCTGAAGAGAACGAGGATCAGAGGCAGGTCTATGATGCCATGGCCAGCACCCTGGGTGAAGCGTGGGCGGCCCTGGTCTCCATGCTTGAAAGAAGACGGGAGCTCCTTAGGGTGACCTCTGAATTTTTTGAAAATGCCTTGGAGGTTTGTGTCAAAAAGAATTTCTCCCTTCTTCACATCAGTGCAAATATTATCCTTCATGAAAATATTTTGTTTCCACTAACAGACATCACAATTGGGACTACATAAAGATACAATAACCAACACAGATACTATATATATATACTTTTTATTGTCAAAATGTAAAATTTTGATTCTATAAAAGTAGACCTTTCAAAGAAAACTAAGTACAATTAATTAAAGGTTAAGTAATATATTAAGTGAAAACAGAAACTCTTACCTGGAAGCCATAATGATTTTCCTCTTTAGAAGGCAATTGTGTAACCACTATATCAATTAGTTCAGACAATGGCCTCAAGTATGTCAGAGTTGATGAGAGTGGCACTGGATAGGGTCACTGGGAGTCATCAATTGATGGAATCTAACAACACGGGATTATTGGGGAGCTCTGGTGGCATGTTTCATGAACAACTGACTCAATTAATTTAATATTCAGAACCCACTCATAGGTGACCCTCCTCTGGGTTTGCAGACATTGTAACTCACACATGTAGAAAATGCCCATTTTTCTCTTGTGGATGTGCTAGTGGATTTGAACTTCCAGAGAAGCACTGTCTTTGGATTAGTAGCCTAAGCCAATCTTTAGATTGCACCATCTCTTATTGTTGGTTTTGGGTGCCATCAAATCAACTACAACTCACAGAAAGCCTATGAACAACAGTTCTGAATCTTTCCCTATCCAATACCAACCTCCGGATCCCTGATATGCTTGAGCTTACTGTTACAGTCGCTGAGTCAATCCATCTTGTTGGGGATCTTCCTGTAGTTCTCATACCCTCCTCCTTTCCCCCAGGATGTCTTTTTCCAAAGAATTTCCCCTTCTGACAACATGCCCCAAGTTTTCACCATTCTTGCCTCTAAAGAGGCAATCTTGGTTGCATTTTCTCCAAGACAGACTTAGAGTTTGTTCTTTTTGGCAGTTCACTGGATATTCAGTTCTCTTCACCAACACCACAGTTCAGAGATATTGGTTCTTCTGTAATCTTTATCCATTGTCCAACTTTCAGATGCACAGGAAGCTATTTAAAACATGGATTGAATCATGCGTGTCTTAGTCTTTAAATGGACATCCTTGCTTTTTAGCACTTTGAAGAAGACCTCAGCAGGTTTCCCCAGTGCAACATCACATCTTTTCATTTCTTGACTGCTGTTACTCTGGGTGTTATTTATGGTTCCAAATAAAATGAAATAATGAAATAATCACCTATTGTTGTTGTTTAGTGTTGCTGAGTATGACTCATAGCCACCCTATGAGCATCCAGTCTGAACCCTACCCAATCCTATGCCATCACCTCTGACACACTCAAGCCTGTTGCTGAAGCCACCGTGTCAGTCCATCTCATTAGGCGTCTTCCTCTCCTTCACTAATCTCCATCTTCCCAAGCATAATGTCCCTTTCTAAGGAATCACCTCACCTAGCTATAAGTCCAAAGTGTGAAAGATGAAATTGTGTCATCTTTGCCTCCAAAGAGCACTCTGGCTGCAATTTTTCCAAGATGTATCTGCTTTTGGTTGCTTTATATTTTTTTCCCCTGCCAGTCTATGGGATATCGAACACTCTTCTCCAGCACCACAACTCAAAAGCTTCAATTATTCTTGTGTCATGTTTATTCACTCTTCAGTTCTCTGGTGTTGGCAGGAGATTAAAAAAAACACGGCCTGAATCAGGCACACTTCAGTCTTCAGACTGATGTCATTGCTCTTCAGAGAGTTCTTTGACAGTGGACTTGCCCAATGCAATTTATCTCTTGATTTCCTGACTGTGTGTACTAAAGATGTTGATTGTTGATGGAAGCAAGATGAAATTGTTGATAACTTCAAATCTTTCTCCATCTATCATAATGATGACTGTTGCTCTGTGGTGAGGAACTTTGTTTTCTTGATGTTAAATGTAATC